TGAAAGATCTTTGGTTTGCCCACACAAGCCCTAAAAGTAGAAAACATGATGCAACATGCTCTAAACTCCTGATCATATCCATCTACCCACTGAGAACACATCGTTTGCATCTGCTGAAACTGCTCCAGGCTTGGACAAAATGAAATCACTAAGTATACTAACATTTATTAATATAAGAAAAACTTCAAAAAACCAAGATCTTCCACTATATATCCTAAGATCCACAGAGATCTCAGATCAAACTTTCAAAGAACTGAAAAACATCAGCTCTGCTTAAAGTCAGTATAACAGCAATTACTCATCACCTTTGAAAGTAAGTCCTTAGGTTTGTTTCAAACCGTGTAGAAAGAGTATGATCTTCGACTCAGAGGAAGTGTGTATTTTTTTCATTGAATATAGTAAGGAACAACACTTTCAGCTGCTTTTAGTTAGTGGCATTTGAACTATGTTCTTTGATTTTGTCCTAGAATTCTTCACATACCTTCTAAAGCCCCAGAAATCCTAGGCGAGCACATAACAGTCTTTTCATTCTAATTAAAGTATCTCTTCTTCACATGGCTTTCTGTCTTCTCTAGTATAACATTGAGCTCTTCAAGTTTCCCACTATTATCCGCAGAAATTTCTTTGTCCTCCGTTACAGAACCTCATTAATCTCCCTTCAAATGCTTTTAGACTTTTGCGATGCTGCAGAGCAGACAAGAACTTCCAGGTGTGCACTTGTCACAGGTTTTGCTCATCTTAAACCTAATCGCTTCTCTGTGCGGTTCAGACCAAACCTAGGCAGATGGTCATAAGTTAATCAGCCGCCTTTGGTATCACAATGTTAAATATTAAATAAAACAAAGGTTTAAATCATAATTAAGTGTCTGAAGTATGGGAGAATGTCCCCTAAAAGTAACTATGTCTCTTCACCAAGTACAGAGCGAGATCAGGTACGCAAAGCTGTTCACTGTGCCTGTATTGTAGACATCGATGGTTAAGCAAGATGAATTCTACTCCAACTGGTCCAATAACTACAATCAGAAGGCACTGCAGAGATATTTTCATATAACAGCATGTCAGGTTAGCTGACTCAAGACTAAGCAAATGAAACACAAAACCATGGCAAGGATCAGAAGAACAATTAGTGAACACCGAGCACACTGACTCACTGGTCCTAAAACCATCAAAGGAGAATTAGTTCAGTTCATTGCTCCTGGTGCAAAGCCCACTAGAAGTGTAGTAAACTCCCTTGAAAGCCATGCAAACTGAGGGGTTACCTAAAGGGGTATAAGACTTCTTACAGTATAGAGGCAGATTTAAATTTAGGGAAAAAACAGAGAATTTGGAGACTATGTAAAATTTATTATGGGATTTTTTTAAGAGGATTGCAGTAATGTGCAAAACTTACCATGGGATGTTCAAGGGAAGCACCAAAAGCGTGTAAAGGGAGGGACTAAGGTAGACTGGGGAGAAACAAGCATGGAAAAACTGAGGACAAAGAGGATAAAGGGGGCCAGTCCCATGTAGACAGCTTACTGATGATGCTTCAATGCATAAGCCTTGCATTTCATCACTGCATTCTGTCTGATACCCTTACCGCACCCTATTTCTAACCGGTCCTGTGCGCACGTACGTGTCAAGGGGACTAGGACCTGGGAGGGACAATGAGTACACACCTCTGGAGCAGGACCACATGCCTGATGGACGAGGGTCTAGGGGCCAGCTGGGGGAGACGGGGGCTGGATGCCAGTTGCAGCGCAGACCGAGGGTCTCACGGCAGCTACCCAACACGCACACTGCAGGTGTGTGCACACCTCCCAGGCAAACTTCAGTCCTGGCCAGCTGGAGAGAAGGTGAAGGTGGAGGTGTAATACCCGAGCACAGCCTGTGTTTACTGCTTTCTCTCGCGGTGCTGACTGGTGCTGGCCATGTGTTACTGTTTGTATCCTGCGTAGGTGCACGCAGGAGTATTGTTTTGTGTCCTTAGGGGATTGGGGATACAGATTCACAGCAGCTTTGGATCCTTTGGATTGGGAGGGGAAAATCCCCCAGGTCTCGAAGGCCATGGGATTCAGCTACCATGAACAAAGAATACCCACATGGATTCTGGGAAAAAAGCCCAAAAACCAAAACCATCACACTCCTGTGGAAGTTTTTCAGTTGGTCTCTAAAACTTTCACCTATTTCCATATACACCTCAGAAACTCAAGTGGCAGTTTAATTTGTTTTAGATATCTAGAATACACAGAGTAAAAGAAATTATTTTATCCAAATATCTGTATCATTACATAGCCTGGCTGTGATAAAACAGGAATAAAATGTTGATGACTCCACAGATGTTTTACCATTAAACAGCTGAAATTCACTAGAGCTATGAATAGCAATTTAAATATTTCTGTATCATAGAATTTATTTCTCATTCAAAACCATTTTTAATATCTTCCCAAGGTAAGAATATGTACAGAAGTTACCTTTTTTAATCAGCAGGACCATTTTTAATATCTTCCCAAGGTAAGAACATGTACAGAAGTTACCTTTTTTTAATCAGCAGATACGTAGGCACTGTATTTGGTTTAGAAAATAGTCCACCATCTCACCCTCCCTCTTAAAAAAAATAAAAATAAATCACCACCACCAAAAGTTTGAATGCAATCATTAACAGTTTCTTTATATTCTCTGTACCTTATGTGATGCTAAGGATTTTATTCTACATACATGAGAGTACGCATACATGCACCTGCATGTATCCATATTGGTTTTGTATATAATGATTTAGATAAATCTAGGTGACTCCTTTAAGGTGATTAAGATGATTACATCTCTTAAGTCACTGGGGGGGGGTGTGCAGAGAAAACACAAATAAAAAATTAGAGCTCCAGCTCCTTCAACATAATTCCTAAACCACTTCGGTGATTGTCTGTCACAGACCTCTACGAGCTCTTCTTGCAAGCACACAGCTAGCACTTGTCATCTACTATATTTAATTAAATAAATTTAAAAGCCCAACTTTAAGTATTGTAGCATTACATATTTTTGGTGCACAGCCACAAGAAGTGCTGGAGACCAACCGCAAGGGTTTCCAAAAGGGACAAATCAACAGGAGCTAGCCCAACAGTGTACAAATCCATGGCCAGGGATCCTCTGAAAAGACAGACTGCAAAATTCCAAATGACTGACTTCCAGCCAGAAAGGCCGAGCCCACACCTGTGCTGTTTACAACTAACATGTTTCTAGAAGTCAGAGCAAGACTTGATTTTGGAAGCTACACCTTCTCCTGGAATGCTACGAGAGCGTGCCCCACTAGATGCAACTGCACTTGATGGCAAGACTAAGATCTCTGTACGAGACCACCCCCATTGAATTTGGAAAAGAAAAGGAATTTGTACACAAATACACAAGCCTCTGAGTACCTTCCTACCTTTAAAATCCCTTTTTTCAGTATGCTGTTATAATCTGGCTAGCAACAGTTTTAGACAATGCTGATCCTTTGAGCTGCTCCACTTGGGGGCCCGTCTGAAACCAACAGTGCACAAAGGCCTTTGGACACAGATATCCTCTGGACATGGCTTGTGCAGTAGAGCTCCACACCGACGCCACGCTTTGTGGCCAAACCAACGTCAGAACTGAAAGCTTTCTAGTAACATTCAGAGTTCTGCACCAAAGCTAATAAATTCCAAGTGGCAGGGCTGGCTCACACCAGAGGTTATCATGACTCAACAAATCAACAACCAACTACATCAACTCAAGCTAAACCGACAAGGCTGAAAATTTTTAATCACATTCCAGAAGATTAGTCTGGTTTTGCAAATTGTGCAAGACTCGACTACAGCTGTGTCGCAAGTTATACTTTGGACTGCACATTCTCCCTCAATTTTCTCAGTGTTTCAGGAAGGAAATAAACGGTATTTGGCACAGAGCACACTGTATTAGTACAACAGGCACACAGCCAGCACCAGTCTATTCCCTAATCTGTTCCACTGCTTCTCATCATCCTACTTATGGCTCTTCAGATCTGCTTCTCTTCCTGCATCACCCCATACGGTAAGTGATCCAGAGAGTCAAAGATACATTATGGTCTTTTATCACCAAACAGCCATAATTTTGCCATGATGATCCAGGAATCTTGCCCAAACACTGCTGGAAGGGACAAGCGAAAGAGTAAGAACTGGAAATGCATACGGATGTTAAGTGTTAGCAGACACATTAAACAGGATGCTATACGAGGGCAAGTGCTCAAAGTGCTCAATTTCCAGATTAAAAAAAAAGTTAAACTATGAAGTTTATTCTGTTTGAGTTCATAAAATTTTTTTGTGCATAAACTTCCGAAAGGAGGAGTGTAGTTAGACTGCACAGTAGTGCAAAGGCTTAAAAAAAATCCTTTTGTATGGAAGACGTTAAGCACTTATGGTCACACCATATTTCTGCAAGAGCAGCCTTCAGCCTAGAAGGCCCAGTTGAACTCCAGCACAGTGTTCTGATCCCCTTAGTATCTTCAGTAAAAAGCTAAATCTATCCCACTGGAAGAGAAGCAGAGAATTTCCTAGACAAACAATAAAAGAACTTTGGACTACATGTACCTTGTGAAACGTGAAGCTTTTGGTTTTCTATATAAACTTAAAATAGAAGGCTTATAATAAATCTCACCTAAAGAAATTTCTGTGTTTTATACAATGTACATCATCTTTCACCCACATTTTAGAAGTTTTAAGTAAGCTAAAGAGAAAATATATTTATTCAACTATGTCATTATTAATATTAGCAGCTTCAACAGTCTGAAATTTTGTCAAGTCATATAACAATAGTTAAGAAGACAGAACAAAGCTATAAATATGTTTACACATGTCCAACAATCTTGTTGAATTACTTTGGGACAAATGAAAAATAATACATCGTACTCCAGGAAGCATAATGCAATATATTTGTCAGCTGGAATAATCAAGATCTAGTCCATTGCCTTAAGGTCACTTGTTTACTTTATTAGATTTGTTAAAAAAAAAAGTGTAAGAACAACTGATTTTTAACTCTATATGGAAGGGGTTTTTGTCTCTGACAAATCTGAATCGAGTTCATCCTTCTTTGCAGTAACGGTACCATGGAATAGGACTGGAACTACAGATATCCTCCACCAACCACCAAGTTATCTGCTTATATCCAAAGGGTCAAACTCCACTGCAAAGCACAGCGTTGGGCTAGTAACATCAGACAGGGAAAAGTCAATGAAAGATTACAGGGCCAATTCTGACGGCTAACTAAAGCAGACGATGACTTGAGAAATCAGAGCATGTGCATACTTGGAAGAAAAGCCCTATTTCTGGAGCCATACGCTGTCTTACCAATGGCCATCAAGTTTTGTACAGTGGATTCACTCAATAGTGACATTTTCTCTCATTGTGACATTTTATACATGTGAAAACAATTATTTCACTACTGCTACAATATGTTTCTTTCTCTCCGACACAAATGGCACAGATCCTGGTTTGCTGTGCTTACGACGATTCAGTTCCCTAGAAACAAAGAACAGAAAAATGTAGTCAAGTAGGCAGCACAAAGATTTAACAAATACTAGCTTCCTCCTTAAGCTACTAAGGTAGATATCCTACAATTTAAAAAAATAAAAAGTTAAGAATTGCTCTGCTTTCATTAATCAAAGGCCATGTACTTCCTCCTCTGAAAAGAAGAACTGTCCCTTTGAAAAATAACTTCAAAATTGGCGAATTTATAAAAGTTTCAAATCAAGACTTTTCTTGGGAAGCTCATCTTACTTGCTTTTCGTGCCAACAGGATTTGCTACTCAGGTTTGTAGAGTCAGCTGAGAAAGACGACTAAAACCCACCACTTTTTGGTTTTACTGTTAATGTAATGGCTACAGCAAAGCATGTGACCTTCTGCTCCTAGAAATGCCAACAGGGCAATGATCCAGGTGACTGAAAGCACTCATTCTGGAGCATGGCAACATTAAAAGAAAAGACGACAACAGAAAAACCCCACTAAACCAACCCTCCACCACCCCAAAAAAAAAACCCTCCACACACACCCACCAGGCCATTCTGTTCCCAATGTCGCACCATGTCACACTTAACAGAGCACTGTGGCTCCTTCCAACGTGGTATTTGCTCCCATTTCTTAAGAGAACTTCTGGGAAGCAGCCAGTCCTCATCGATACTGGCACTTGTCTGCCTTTTCCTTATTATCAAAGGTTAATCAATCTAGTAGTTCATGAGCACTTATGTTCCTCCCACACACTGGAGCCCTAACACTCCCATACTTTGCTGCTACAGTACCGCAGTGATGCCTTTTATTAAGATCAAGAGAAAACAAAGCCAGAAGAGGAAGACATACTTTCGCCGACGAGCTTCTCTCATGATACGTTGCTCCTTGATTTGGCAAAATATACTTTTAGGCAAGTGACGGTGTCGAGCTATGCGTCTGATCTGTGGGTGATACTGGAACTTCTCCTTCAGCTTCTGATTGTAATTCATAGCTGCCTTCTCTCGTGGTGCAAGCTATGGGGAAAACAACAAACGTGCTATAAAAGAAGAGGGATTTAACTGTCACAGTTTTCTCTACAAACCAAAATCTTAACTTTTAATTCAAATGGCTTCCTTCTAGCAGATAGCTTTAACCACAGAAACTTCAGCATTAGGGTAGGCAAGTATTAAAAACTTACAATTTCAACAATACACCAATGCTCAAACACAAAGCATCACAGGTTTCAAAGTTCAGTGAAGTAACTGAATTTACTTCCTGAAAATCAGGTTTAAACGTGCTGCAGAGAAAGAAGAGATAACAGAAATATCTGACAGTGAAACCTCTGATCAGAGCCTGCCCGCTCTCCTAACCCCTGCTGATGATCAACTTTTGCTAGGTTAGCTGTTAGGAAAATAAGCATTAGGACCAAAAGTTTTTTTTTCAAATGTGCATGTTTCCTTTTGGTCCTAATGCTTATTTACCGAAAGGAAAAAAAAAAAAAAAATCTGTGCATTGTATTTTTGTTTAAAGCATGCATTGCTTCACAAGGAATATCAGTTTCTAAGCATTTTGGATTTGCTTGCATCTCTAGGGATTTCATCTGCACTACAGTCTAGCGAGCTTTCAGACTTTGACCAAAGCAGCAAGTGAATCTTTATGGAAAAAAGTCCTCTACTCCCAAGCCACTTAATGTTTTTTTAATATAAACAGAAAATCTGTTAATATTAACAGAGGTTAATCCTACCCTCTTCTTCCTACCCTCCCTCCCAAAAGAAACTCTATAACTCCAATATGTCAGGCACCTAAAAACCTTTCATATTCTCAAACAAGCAGTGGCACAAGTCTTTAGCCCTCCCACATTTACTTCATCCGCTACCACCTGCACCTAGAGTATTAAAAGCAAAACAACTGTTCAGACAACTATATATTCAGCTTTGTAACTGACTCAGTTTCACTAATTTCTTACTTTCTCATTTAAAATACAGAACCTGAGTTTCAGACACTAGCAAAGAGAAAAGGCAATAACAAACCCAACAACTTTATTACACACACAAAAATTTGGAAATTCCACTTTCATTATTATGAAACATTTTATTTTTTTTATTCCCTGTGAAATGAGCAATTGGCTATTTCTTCTCCGCTCTGGAGGTCACTTTTGGAAGTGAATTCTGTTAGAATATTTAATCTTTTCTGAAAAAAATAACTATCATACTCAGGTAACTTTGGTCCAAAATACCACTAATGCTCTGAAAGCAAGTACTAATAAAACATATGGCGAAGGAGTTTCTCCTTTGGGACAAGAAAGAAACCAGGTACCAGATTGCAGAGCTGCTCATTGCTCAGAAAATTCTTATTCAGGCATCAGAGATAGGTAATACCCTTAACCTCTCGTTCCTCCACCCCCTCTTATGTGTAAAAATGAATCCTTCCGCTTTACTTACATCTATTGTGACCTCTCTCAAACAGCACATGTGTAAATTTTACAATCTCAACCGAACAAAGCCCCCCCCAGCCCTTTACTGAAATTCCTTCTAGTGAGCCAGAATGAAGAGCTGGTTCACTTTCAATAAATCCCAGGTGTTCCAACTCTGCAGAAAACTGCGAACAGAATCCAAATTAAAAAGCTTTTATTTTAATTAAATGCAATGATTTCCTTTAATTTAAGAAGAGTAAATTGCTGCTGATTTAGTATAACCTCGATGATTCTACAGACGAGAAGTGAATCTGTAAATTAAAAATACATCCAGGATATCTTATTTTAAAAATTAATATAGATTAGGAGGTTTATATTCGAGTCTGATTCCATTTTTATGTATAATGTGGTACACAGAAAGGCACGTAGTTGGTTACTTTCCGTCCACCTACCAAATGCAAATGCCCTGTATATATACCACGCTGTGCTAAGTGTACGCTG